TGCTTCGATTCCGCAGCGTTGGCGGAATAAAAAGACCCACAGGAAATCTGTTTCATCTGTATTATATGGAGTGAGTTGACAATTCTGAGTATTTCAATGAGTTAAGAGGAAGTTTTAAATTGAAATTTATTTGATCAATTCTCTAAATCACAAAACTCAAAGTTTCAAAAATGTGCCTTTCTCAGTAAAATGACTGCATCACAATGGAAGTAAGTTGTGAATAACCGGCTGTTATTTGAATTAAAACATATGTTTTTTTAATTTGAATATATCAACAAAGTTGAAACAGTAAATTGGCCACCGTTACGATTATAAAAGCTGACGTTTCGAGCGTTAGACCTTCGTCGGAGCCGACAACGTGAATCATTAGCGTGTCATTTTCCACAAAATGTTTCCTCTAGTCATAATAACCTATTTTAGTACTTAAAAGGTTTCGTTCTTACAGCAAGGTGTTTAACAGCTATCAAATTGTGCATGATGGTTGTACATATAAGAACGGTGACCTCATTTCATTTTTTAGTGGTCTCTGCCTTTGCATGATTCACGATACTAAATTGGGATATGAGTTTGAATCTCAATAGTTTGTCACGCTAAAACATATCTATTCAAGGATGAAAATCAACAATCTGATTATTTATATGAATTGCTGTCCGACTCTTGCATTTGTTTCTAAAACGTTCTTACATATTAAGAAAAGATTTCAGACCAGATAACGTTACATATAAATATTTTCTTTGATTAAACAACAGTCTGTCCGTCAGTGCATGAGAGGTCTATACTGACGGATCTAGCGACACTCACCTCTGTTGGAAACCGATCCACAACAAACTAAACTCAGGGATAGCAAATCTGTTTCGTTTGATATGATTTATGACATACAAGCCTAAAGTTCTAATTTTTAACGGTACCGTAAGAGGAAGTTAAATCAGGGACTTAGTTTCATGCCAGGTTCGACTGCTATAACAAACCTTTTTAAAAATGTACCTCCATAAAGGAGACCTGAATGAAGACAACAAGGGATCTTTCACACTTTAACTCCCGACCATTTCCCGCTTGCAATATTTTTTTATCAAATAAATCAATTTCTACTTTTGTATTGAAAGTTGTATTCATCTTTATTCAACAGGTAAAGCTTACTCCAACATTACTTCGTTTTAATCATTTTTGGTTTGCTAAGTCTGATGAGGCAAGATAAAGACAATAAAAATGGTAAGTGAGGGTATCTCAAAGGGAAACTCCTCGTCCAATATGGATTGGAGGATTTCCATGAGTCAAACGAGAAATTGTTATATTAGTGGTGTCACACAAAAACATGAAGTGTTACGAATACAAATCAATAACTACAATATTTATTAATGCTCAGAGAGCCTCTAACTACTATACTTGAAATGCTCTTTCAAGTACAGTTTACAGATAGAAAAAGATCAAGAAGCTTTCTGAAAAACACGTTGAGTGTGCCTACATGTTTGGCTACAATAATTCTTTCAGCACAGGAGAAAAACAGTTTGACAGGATCGATTATAAAGCTTTTAACACTGCTGATAGAAAGAAAACCTTCAACACTAACCTACTAATAATACTCATGCTTATAAATACAGAATGCAATACTTATTGTTAAGTATGTATTAAAAAGGAGTGACGCACCGCAGTACACACTTTAAACCTGAAACGAATAGACTGTTCATGAAAGTGATCAACGAGCCCCTAGGCCGCCATCAAACCAACATATTAACATCGTGTTTTCTCAGTGGCTCGCACTTGAGGCCAATTATTTTGTTCATCTTGGTCTAGTTATTGTTAATTAGTATTAAGAATCTGAAATTGTAGTAGGGTTATGCAGAGCTCCGTCTACATTCTCCATCGCTGGAATGTAATCGAAAAACCTTGACTCGAGCCGATTTAAACTGCCCTTCTTTTTGTTTGAGGATTTTAACTTCGCGCGTTTTAAGACCTTTACTGAACATTTGTCAGTGTATCTTGTTTTTAAGTTTCTGTCATTTCTCCTAAACTAACAGGGAATAAAGCCTGCGGTGGACAGCCTTATCAAAGACCTCATTATTGGTTTATCTGTTGCCCAATTCCTGCGAAATACTAGCCGTGCTCTAAAAGCGATCGAATTATGCGAGGAATGCTTGATTTTACTTTAGAACAGCTCAGAGTGGTATGAAGAGGACGTATTCAAAGAGTTCTACTCTATTATCTTAAGACAATTATGCATCTCATACCCTACCACCCATGATTTTGGAAAAGCCGAACGATACATCCAGGAACTTGTTGTCATGTCTAAAGACTCTGATGACATACAAGAGGAAGGATACTGGAGGTCAGGTCTAGCAACTAATTATCTACTCCAAAATAAACTTACAAACGCAAAACAAAGTTTTATGAAAGCACTAGATATGTTCAAAGTAACCGGTGACAGGGTACAACAAGCAGTCGTATACGATAACCTTGCAACTCTGAATATCCGGATCGGTGACATTCGGAGCGAAAAAGAATATCTCGAGGAACGGCTCCGCCTCATTAAAGAGCCTGGCGACAAAAAAGGAGAAGCATATTGTTACAGCCCCCTGGGACATTATTTTCTGAGAGTTAACGACAATCGAAAGGCAAATGAATATTTTCAGAAAGCACACAAAATCAGGATGGAAATTGGCGGAAGAAAGGAATTTTCGGCTGATTGCTAGGACCAAGCAGCATTTTATAGCCACCTAGGAGACCATCAAAAGGCTTTAGAGTATCTGAAGGAAAGTCTTGCAATCATTTCGGAAAGTGACGATAGAGATGACGCAGAAGTAGCAGTAATTTGCCTCAGCCTAGGAGGTGAACTTTACCATGTTGGTAGATATACCGAGGCCGAGGAATGCTTGGAGGGAGGGCACTCAATACTGAACGGCCTCGGAAAGGGTACCACCCACCACATCTTCCTTCCCTCTCTCACGATGGTAAAGTTTTCACTCTCCAAAACTCAGGAAGCACATTCGCACCTATTACAATGCATTCAATCATTTGAAAGGTTGCGAAATTTAATTAAAACCAACGAGCACTTTTCAATCTCTCTTTTGGAGCGCGAGCAATTGTACAAGCACTTTAGCGTCGAGCTATTTCACGCCGGAAGTCCCCACGAGGCCCTTTCTGCGGAAGAACTGGGGCGAGCTAGAGCCTTGGAAGATTTGATTGCAGCCAAGTACCCTGATGGAGTAAAAAACATCTCACTGATCTCAGCTGATTTACAATCACTGTGTCGGATTGGAAAGCTTATTAATCGAGAAACTAACTGTACTTACTTGTACCTTTCGTATTATGAGAGACGCGTTCGTGTTGCGATTTTGAAACCGGGTGGGGACACGTACTTCTCAAAAGAAGAAGAAGTTGATATCCCCACTCTGATGGCCGAGGATGTTGTTGATTTGGATGACCTTTTCAACAAAACCTTTCGTTCTTTTGGAGTTTTGCCTAGAGAGCTATGCGAAGACCGATCCTTGGATGACATCGATAAACATGATGACAGCCTCGCCCTATTCCGAGGAGATGAAACCGAAGACACCGACAGGTATCTTCAAATGTTTTACAAATTGATTATCGCTCCTGTGGCCAATTTACTCACAGGGCCTGAAGTCATCATTGTTCCCGAGCGGTCTATGTATCGAGTCCCATTTGCAGCGTTGCGTGATGGGTCGATGAAGGGAACCGAGAAGCCATTCTTACTTTGCTGTCCGTGAACTTGACATTGCTCCCCCAGAAATCATGCACTGCGCGCGCTACCTACAGATTATTCACTGATCTGTAGGTACAGATTAGTGAATAATCTGTAGGTTGCGCTGTTTCCCAGAATTAACTGTGGGCGTTTAGCCAATGAAAGGACAGATGGTGACGACAATGTATAATAATAATAATTGTTAACATAGAACATTTTTATTGCAGCAACGAAGACCCCACCTGCTAAAGACTAAAATGAGAAACAGTGGCACACAGGCCTGAAGATTCATGGCTGTCATCTCTGTGTCCTCTTACTTCATAAAGACTTTGGATGACCTTTTCAACAAAACCTTTCGTTCTTTTGGAGTTTTGCCTAGAGAGCTATGCGAAGACCGATCCTTGGATGACATCGATAAACATGATGACAGCCTCGCCCAACGAAATGAAACCGAAGACACCGACAGGTATCTTCAAATGTTTTACAAATTGATTATCGCTCCTGTGGCCAATTTACTCACAGGGCCTGAAGTCATCATTGTTCCCGAGCGGTCTATGTATCGAGTCCCATTTGCAGCGTTGCGTGAAGAGACTGGCAAGAAATTTCTAACAGAGAATTTAAGGATCCGTATCGCCCCTTCTTTGATGACTCTGAAACTCATTCAGGACAGTCCACCCAACTATCACAGCCAGACCGGTGCATTGATAGTGGGCGATCCCGTAGTTGGCGAGGTGTTGTACAGAGGAGCTCGGAAGAACATCACAGAATTGCCTTGTGCAAGAAAGGAAGCAGAAATGGTTGGACAACTGATGGGTGTTGAGCCTTTGATAGGAGAGCGTGCAACAAAGCAGGCGGTACTCGACGGAATAGACAAAGCGAGTCTGATCCATATTGCCGCCCATGGTAATGCGGAAAGGGGACAAATTGCCCTGGCTCCCAATCGCACTACTGAGGGTACTGGTTTTCCGAAAGAAGAAGACTACCTTCTGACCATGGAGGATATTTCACAAGTTCAACTGCGAGCTAAACTGGTAGTACTTAGCTGTTGTCACAGTGGCAAGGGTCAAATCGGCTATGAAGGCGTGGTTGGAATAGCTCGTGCGTTCCTTGGATCCGGTGCTCGCTCAGTGTTAGTTGCAGGGTGGGCCCTGGAGGATAGGGCAACAGAACAACTCATGAACCAATTCTACAAACACCTTGCTGGTGGAGAAAGTGCCAGTGAATCTCTACATCAGGCCATGAAGTGGATGAGAAATAATAGGTTTACTAAAGTTTCCCAGTGGGCTCCTTTTATGCTGATTGGAGATGACGTGAAAATTGACTTCAAGGGTGAAGGTAGGTGTTAAAATCAGGAGAGACTATTCCCTTAAGTGTCATTTGAAGACATACATTTGAGTCACAAAGGCTACAATGTAGCTTGCAGATGTTGTCTTTTAAATTGGTGTCATTGTTCAAGGTCTTTTCATATCATCATCATCATCATTATCATCAATTTAATTATGAATATCATTTTTCTATTATTTCAAAGTCTCATGATTGCATTAATGTCACATCTGGGCTGTTAAAAAAGTAAAGGCTGATAGTTTTTAAAGAAACTGTTTGGGGCTGCGTCGGTGGGGGTAACGAAATAATTTGGATATATCAACAAAGTTGAAATGGTAAATTGGCCACCGTAACGATTATAAAAGCTGACGTTTTGAGCGTTAGCCCTTCGTAGGAGCGAATGGCTATGTTGTGAATCAATTAGGAAAATAAATAGGGTTTGTTGACTGAAAAAGGCTAGTCTATAGTTCGCTATGACATGTTATCCAGTTTCTATTTAGCTACACAGTCCTATGTAGAAAGTTGATTACTTGACAAGAGGATGTGAGGTTGTGATCTCTTGTTTTCTGCATTAGTAGAACCAGTGTGTTGGTAGTCTCTCTCTACGTCAGCTAAATTGGTAAGATTAAGCTCTATAAGCTCCAATACTTTTGATTATAAACAATTATTGGATGAGGTTTTTGTGATATCGGGAATAATCAAGGTCGAGGTTAGTGTTATCAGCCAAAGCCGAAGGCTGAGGCTGATAACCACTAACCGAGACCTTGATTATTCCGGCTATCACAAAAACCTCATCCAATAACTGTTTTATGATACATTTTTTTAAAGAAAATAACGCCAAACGCATTATCGCAGCGAACACAGTTTATTTCTGAACACTTAAAAATGTACAACTGTGTGGTAAACAAATTTTCACAGTTTTTATAAAACAATCAAGTGCAGAAGAGTTAAATGCATTTCTAAAGAAAGTATCATTGAAGAAAACTGTAGATCTTCTAGTATTTTCAGAATCTCTATCTTCAAGAAATTTCTCAATTTCTCGCTGGGTCGATGAAGGGAACCGAGAAGCCATTCTTACTTTGCTGTACGTGAACTTGACATTGCTCCACCAGAAATCATGCACTGCGCGCACTACCTACAGATTATTCACTAATCTGTAGGTACAGATTATTCACTAATCTGTAGGTACAGATTAGTGAATAATCTGTAGGCTGCACTGTTTCCCAGAATTAACTGTGGGCGTTTAGCCAATGAAAGGACAGATGGTGACGACAATGTCTAATAATAATAATTGTTAACATAGAACATTTTTATTGCAGCAAAGAAGACCCCACCTGCTAAAGACTAAAATGAGAAACAGTTGCACACAGGCCTGAAGATTCATGGCTGTCATCTCTGTGTCCTCTTACTTCATAAAGACTTTCTGTTGCCCAGTGAAGCAGGTGTAGCTTTTGGATTGAACACAATTTTTAAGCCTGAGGAAATTCGATTTTTTTCTTTCAATTGTGCAAATTAAGGAGTTCTTAGTTGTGAAGATTTTATGGATACAAAATAAGACAGACCTGGTTGCATGATGCATTAATTTTTCAGTCTTGTCATGCAACACATTCTCTCTGAATGCATTGTGCGAAAGAACAAACTTTGGTTGCAAAGGAAACTAGGAATGATGCTATAATAAGACAAAATGTCATGATGACTTTTTCATCATTTTTTAGTAAAAATAACAAATATCAGAAGTATTTTTTTTTGTTTATAATGTAGGAAGGCAACATGCCACTTTACCTACTTAAGTTAATTTGAGGATTATTTCAGGAAATGGCTCAAGGTTGCTGTTTACTAATAGAAATTATTAAGGCAGTTGACAAGTAAAAGCTTTTACCTGAGAGAAGAATTTGGAAGAGCTTTTCCTTTTGCCATAGACTGACTGTTTGATTTTGAAGAAGCTTCATAAGTAAGCTCAAGGTGTCTTAGCTTCAGAGTGTTTTTTGTAAGTTTTTTCTCCCAAGAGCTAGAGGATGTATATAGTTTCTGAACACAAATTTTTAACAAGACTGAACTTGTAGGTTTTGTGTTTGACTGGGAAGAGCAACTTGGAGCTGTTGCATTTTTCCTCATCCTTTTCCTTTTGTGCACCAATTTTTTTTTTCTCATATAGTATAAAGAGATTATGTATTAATTATCTTATGGGAAGGCAGATTTAGAAGTTCTCTTCCCATTTGCGGAAATTACTTGCATGTTTAAATATTGTAGTTGTTTTCAGTGAATATGTAAGTTATAATCGTGATCCTGTATAACTGCGAATTCTTTCGTGGGAAATCAGATTTAGAAGGTCTCAACCCATACCCAGAATTAGTTGCATGTTTAAAGCATTCCTTAGAAGGGTGCATGTGTAGGTGTTTTACTTTAAAAAAAGATTGGATGGGTGGGGTGGGGGGGGGAGGGTGAGGCTATTGCCTTCCTCTCCGCATCCTTTTCACCCTGTGTACATATTGTTTTTAGTCAATTAGCTTATAGTGATTATGTACCAATTCTCTGATGGGAAAGCAGATTGAGAAGGGCTTTACCCACTTGTAGAAATTACTTTCATGTTTAAAGTGTTTCAATGGTGCATGCCTAAATGTTAATCAGCATATAGTAATTATGTAATGATTCTCTTATGGGAAAGCAGATTTAGAATGTCTCCACCCATTTGCAGAAATTACTACCATGTTTAATGTGTTTCAATGATGCATCCCTAAGTCATCTACAGGAAACAACCCCCTGATCCTTGTTGCCTTGTGCACCAGTTGCTTTTAGTGAATCTGTATACTAAGTTATAGTGATCATGTATTACTAGGAATTCTCCCATGGGAAAGCAGATTAAGGTCTCAACCCATTTGCAGAAATTATTTGCCTAATCAAAGTATTTTCAGGGTGCATGCCTAAGTGTTTAACCTTAAAAAAAAGTTGGTGGGGGAAGGGGAGGGGAAGGGTGTGGCTATTACGTTCCCCACCCACACTTTTCACCAAGTGTACTTATAGCTTTCAGTTGATTTGTATATGGTGATCATGTATTGGCAATTCCCTTATGGAAAGCAGATTTAGGTCTCTTCCCATTTGAAGAAATCACTCGTATGGTCACATGTACTAGGCGTGTTAAATATTTTGTATTAAACATTGGCCATCAAGCCTTGATCTTTGGTTTATCTTGCATTTCACAATTGAATGTTTTCTCCCATGAAGAAAAGCTGAGGCTAAAAAAATGGATAAAAACCCACAGCACTGTGAATTTTACTGTACAAGGACTGTTTAAAAGGTAACCCCACTTTTATTTCTAATTAGATTGGCCCTCTTCTTAGATGAAGGCATTGCTTAAGCATGCTCAAGTATACTGGCACTAGTAAAAACAAGGACTAATACACCTTTGCCATTGGGTCAATGCACTGACCAAGTTACTCTCTCACATTCTAGTTTATCCTTTAACCCTGACTTCTGTATGTATATCTTCCATGTTCTCCTTACATTCTCTGGGAGACTGACTTGAAGAATTTCTTAAAGGATCAAGAGCCAGGGCACTTTGAAACGTGGGTGGGTTATTTTTCACCCAGTCATATGTGTACCCCCACTCAAATTTTCCAAAATACTCTCTGCCTTGTTTGTTGGCACAAGAAAACCTCTTTGCAATCTTTACTGTTTTGAGTGCGAAATTAATGATTTGTGGCCTTCTCTTACTTTCTCTAGCACAGTCAAAACCTTTAAGCCTAGCATTCAATTGGGTTCCTGTAGACAAAATTGACTTGTCCTATATCCTATCTTGTTTAATGGAAAGCTGTTGCAGTTGATAAACTTCTCGCACACAGGCCAGAGCTGTTCAAAAGAAGTTTTAAAACTAATTTGCGAGGCATGATGCTGATAAAATTATTTTAAAAAATCACAAGTTGAATGTCTTGCCAATGTTTACGCTGTGCTAGAGATATTCTTGATACCAAAAGGTGGGGCTGAGTCCCCCCAAATATTAGCATATGAGAGTTTCTTTAAATGGAGATTGTTTCCCTAATTCTCAAGACCCTGATGTTTAATTCCACAGTGATATTGTGAGGAAAAACTGGATGCTACACACTTATCAGTTAAAGGGTTAATCATGACTGCCTGGGAGACCTTGACTTTCTCCCCAATTATGATGGATGCCAGTCATGAAATCGAATATTGTATTGAACAAGTCATGGCTTAACATTTACAGGAATTTAAAACCTTTCAGTTAAAGATACAAAATTACTTTATAGTGCTGTGTTACTCAATGGAGTTGATTTTATCATTTACAAATGAAACAAAATGCTAAAAGGGACAATGAAATGAAAATAATAAAAGAAAATGCATTGAAGCATAAAAAATGGCGAGTGATCTTATGGTGATTGGTTTAAAGAGGCATCTCATAGGTCAAGAGGATAGAGCAAATTATGAAGACTACTCATGGAGCAGAGTTAGACAAAAAGAAATTAAATTCTGGATTGCTTTTGACACTCAATTGGAAGTTGTTCTAATCACAACGCTTCTAACAGTTTAATTCTTGACAGGTGCTTCTCCCAGGTAAATCTTGTTTTGATTCGTTAAAAAGTTCGCAGTGCATCAATGCTTTTGCAAAGCAATATGTATGCTCATTACGGCTGATATTACCTTGTAACTAAGTCAAGTAAAATGTACAAAGATTATTCAATTCTAATGTATTGAGTATCATGAAGCCATGGAGATGAAAGTTTTAACGGAGCAATATCAAAGAAGACTCCTTTCTAATCCCTAGCTTTGCAAGTTGTATTCAGTAGTGAAATAAACTTTGTGCATTTTCATGGCTTAGATCAACACAACAAAAGTTGGTTCAAGACTGAATTTATGGACTAGCTCTATGTCTTAACTCTTGTAACATGCAAAGCTTCATTACAACGGTAATTTGATTGAAATCAAAAGAACAAAGCAAGAAAAACACAACATACATATCCCTGGAAATTCCAATACAATTTATAGGATTGCCATTTAAGAAGAAGCTATTATGTTTATTATAAACAGCAAACATCTGCAAACCTAATGCATAGTGGATTCATGATGGAAAAAGGTTGAGTTCCAGAAAAATTCCAAGCAGTAACAATTACTTCATGTGAACACTGCAATGTAATCATGTACTGAACGAAAAAAGGAGAGTAAAATGAAAAAAAAGGAAAGAAAAACATACTAAAACTCAACTCAAACAGAAGATTTTCTGCAGACAATATCAACTAGTTTTCAAACATTTAGATTATGGAAGTAGAATAATAACTTGTGTTAACTTGACAGTAATTTTCAATTAAGCGTTGAAAGTAATTCAGATCGCTTTGTTCTTGCATTACTTCACTGTGTGATTGGTCCATGCCTTCTGTCAATCAATCAGATTCAAAACTATATTTACCAATCAACTTGCTCGCCAATGTTTTCCCGTGCCTCAGACAGTTAGGTTGGTCTTACTTTGAGTTCTCATTGGCTCAAAGATATTTTCCTTCCTTCTGACTGGCTGTCCTGATGGCTTTGGTTTTTGTTTCTTGACACTCAGTTGAAAACTGCTCTATTCTCCAAATTCTCTCAACTAGTATAACAGAGTCGGGAGATGCAGTAAATGGTTTGAACCCGGGGGTAACATGTGAAGGTGTAGTCTGATCGTCCGGGTGAGTGTAGTCCTGAGAAGGACTGTTGTCGGTGGTAGTGACTGACGTTTCGACAACCTGTGCGGAAGTCATCATCAGAGTCAAGTGAATGATTGTTGTCAGTAGAATGTTCTTATTCCAGTTCGTGTGAAATGATCGGTTGGTTTTGCCGTGATGTTATTGGCTGTAAGACTCAAGTGACGTAAGTCGGTCGTGATTGGTCTGTTTCGATCTGTCGGTAAAGTTAGGTCGTTCTTTTTCGGTCGTTTGTGATGTTTATGTCGTNTCAGGCCTGTACGGGATTCGAACCACTGACCTCTGCGATACTAGTGCAGCGCTCTACCAATTGAGCTAACAATTGGTAGAGCACTGCACTAGTATGGCAGAGGTCTGTGGTTCAAATCCCGTACAGGCCTGATTTTTTTCAGGTCTGATTTTCGCTATTGCATAAATAGCGCTATCTACTGCGAGGATCGTGCATCATACGTAAATAAAAAAATAATAAATAAATAAACCAAAACAAAGAAAGGTCAAAATTCACCATTATTCCACATCAGTGATACCCTTGTCTGGGCCTTGTGTACCCCTTTTGTTTTTACCACACTTTGACTTTATCTGTGATCAATTGCTGAACAGACATACAGCACATAGAATCTCTTTCTTTCATATGATACAGAAATGAACTGCTGTTAATGGTGATGTCATCTATGCATCTGTCCTCTAACAGATCACAACTAAGAACCAATCAGAATGTATGTATAACTAAGCTAAAAAGAAAAAAAAAAAAACCACTCAGCAGAGAGGATTCAAAGTAATTGTTATCACCTATGGTATGTTTTACATTTGGTTCCCCTTATAGAGAAAGGTATACTGAAATGTTCTAAAGCAATCATACAGAACTCCTCACCTGTGTTTGTTTTACCTGTGTCTGTTTTGCATCATCACTCTTTGTTGCTAACACATTTGTTGCCACATCATACAACCAAACAGATCCTGTATCATCTCCAGCCAACAACACTGAGCATGCTGGAACAGACATTGTTTAAAAAATGGTTTCGTGAAAATGATAAGTTGAAACAGCTTTCTTCCAGTCTACTGAAATTATGTTTGGTGTACCTCCCAAGCTTTTCACTAGATGTGGTTGCCTCAATTTACAGATAAAACAAAAGAAAGACCTATTTTACCACAACTCACTATTCATAACCTTTACACCCTAACATCAGTATGCATATTCTCCATACTGTTCTTTATACATTTCCTAAGGTGCTGACAAGGAGAATTTGTTTAACAATCAATAGTTTCTTCAGTTGGTGATCATTTAGTTTACTCTTGCGACCTTAAATGTGTGATTCAGAGGATGATATTGTAAGGAAAAATTACATACTGGTCAGTTTAAGGGGTTCATTAAGCCTTTCACTTTCAAGCGTGCAGTTATGATTCTCCTTGCTCTTCATCATACAATTTTTATATCATCAGTTCTAAGAATATGTTAAAACCAAAAGATATAATAGTATCCAAGGTGATAATCCTTTTAAATTCTCATGCCTTTTCTGCGCAATAAGGGACTAATCTTGTTAGGAGAAATTGCTCATTGGTCACCCCCTAGAGTGAAAGGATAAATACAAGATTGACCAACCTGGTACAAAGCTGAATTTCAAGAAAGGAACTTCAGTGAGTCTCCATGGAAGCTTGTGAGCTACTCTGAAGTCATTCTGCAGAACAGTCAGACAAAGCAAATCATTGACTTTGTTATGACCAGCAAGACTCAAGACAATTCATGAGAAAAAAAATTGCCCAATTATGCACTACATAAAAATCATAAGGAACCCTCCTCAACAGAAGTGAATGTTAAATTAAAGTCTAATTTACAGAACACATGGGGAGTAAATTGCATGAATTTGACAAGTGACTGTTTGATATATCAAGACCACTTGACAAGAGGCAGCTTAAGTAACACAAAGAAGCCTGTCATAGACCTGTTAAAAAAACTTGCAAAAGAAAGAGAGGAAAAATACTCATTTTAACCCAAAATACCTTCATCATTTCTGACTCTGAGTGCCAAATATGGATGCAACCTTCTTCAACTCGCTTAGTTGCTGAAGAAAAATAAGAATGACATCAGGAGAATACCACTACTTCTAAACAAATTCCAAATTACAACTAGCTAATCATTCAATTTCATATACATACTCCATGTTGGCTTCCTCAATGACAGGTAGCATAATTATTTTATAATAAACAGAGTGTGTCTGTTGACCCACCCTGCTCCCAGTGTGTCTGTTGACCCACCCCACTCCCAGTGTGTCTGTTGACCCACCCCACTCCCAGTGTGTCTGTTGACCCACCCTGCTCCCACTGTGTCTGTTGACCCACCCCACTCCCAGTAGTGCATATAAATTATGAACTCAACAAACAATAAACTATTCCACTTCCTGGTAACGTCAAGCCTCACTTCAAGTATGAGTATTGATAAATACAGATAACAAGAGGCTTTTTAGTAATCGCATAGAAACCAGCTGACATGATAACAGAGCAAATACTCCGCACATGTAACACTCACTATGATAAAAGAACGATTTTCACCCCCAACATAATTGTCATCACAATCATCACTGTCACCAGGGGAAGTGGTTAGATAGTCATTTTGCAAGAAACAAGGTGGAATTAATCCTCAAAGAAAGTGGTTGTTCTGTACTCTTAGGTCAGATGCTTCCCTGACAGAACTTTTCCCCACACAGGAGTAAAAAGGGAGGGGATCAAGCAACTGGGGTGTGCTTGGGAAGTAATAGCCTGAATAGGCTGAAAGAGTAACATGAACCTACCCTATCATACAAAGAAAAAGTGAGTCAACTTACCAATCATTTTGTTTGACAAGCACACAATACTGTCTAAAGGAATTGTCTTTTTACCAGGAAAATCTAACTTTCCAAAATGTGTCCTACAAAAACAGAGGTAGACATTTTGAGAGACCTGCACCTCTGACAAATTCATTTATAACACATCCAAAGCAAAGCGTGCAATCTGATTGGTCAATTCAGCGTCCCCCCATTTGCCCATGGGTGTATGCTGCTGACATGAGCAAATGCAAAGACTAGTTTTCCACGCGTGCTCGTTCTTTCTGGTCACGTAAAATTTGTTAAATAAAAGGAAAATCTCGCTACAATGTATCAATGTTATGTTATAAAACAAATGGTTAACGCCACAGTGTACACTATTGAGTTATGGATGCACTTGAGAGGTTTGTTAAGCACTCAAGAAGCTAGAGTCGCTCTCGGCTATTGCCTCGCACAACTCTTACGCTTCTTTCGTGGTTAGCAACCTCCTGCGTGCATCCCTAACTCAATAGTGTACGCTGAGGTGTTTACCATTTGTTAAATTCCCTTTTGAACTACAAACACTATAAGACCAGTACCGTACCAGTATTTTGGCTTGAGATTTGTCCTTCAAAACCAAACTTCTCTCGCATGTATTTTGAAAATGGATTGTTTTCCAATCATCAAATTTTGCAAATAGGCTACTTAAGCAATAATCTTTAATAAGTAAGAAAATAAAAGCATTCTGAAAAGGTTAAGTTGGCCTCTGGTACCACCTTAACCCCTTTAATCATGGGAGGAATTGCACAGGCTGCTTTTAAAGAAAACAAAAACAAAAAGTAGTTCCCCTCTAATTTAGAATGAAGAGCTTGGCTGAAAATCTACAAAAAAAACACCAAATGCAAAAAGGAAACACATGCTTTAGGAAAAACAAGACTATTTCACCTTGTCTTATCCTTTTTATCAGCTTTATCAGTTTTATTATCAAAGAGATTCCAGACATAGCAGCCATCGTCACATCCTCCCACAACTACTTTGCCATGTGGAGGAATTGAAAATAAGCGCACTATTGAGCGAGATTTCAGTGTCAGCAGGAGCCTGTTTGAAAAAAAAAATCATATTAGAATTACACTTGGTAACTTAATGGTGTCATTAATCGCTGTAAATGGAATATAATCCCTTTTCTCTTAAGATATTTGTTATCAGTGGTCAAAATTTTGTGGACTCATGAGGTACAGCTGAGTGAGTCTTCAACAAAGTTTGACCACTGATGACAAATATTATTGTAGATAAGAGAACAGACCACCCTAAACTACTGTTGATTTATTTCAGTGCGTGACATGTTGACGCTAGCATGTTGTCAGTACTCTAACTGACAATGGTGAATTGGCCAATCAGACTGGGACATAACTGCCAATGGTGGTAAAATCTCTAGTTAATAATAACACTTTCCAGTTTCCAAAACACTCTCCAAATTCCAAACACTTCCCATATTCCAAAATCTGAGAATTCTATGCACTATTGGTGGGATGGGTGGGATTTATTGGGTGGACTACTTGCATGGTTCGCATATGTTCCATTCTAGTCCTACCCTACTGTGGTAATGCAGTCAAAATGGTTAGAAAAACACTATGTGTAAAATTGCCATGTGTTCAGCGATTACTAAATGAAGGTTTTATTCAGAAGAGTATTATACTGCTTCAAATTACAGTTCATGGTAAGGGATTATTAGACTGTGTTTGTGCGGAAATGTTCAATTTAGTCGGAGAATGTGTGGTTGCTTATTGGAGCAGAGGACATCCATATGCATTGATTTTGATGTTAATGGCTTTCACCAGATCCTGAGACATCTGAAATACTTTAAAAAGCCAAGATTGAGAAGAAAATGAAATTATTCTGGGAAGTGTTTTGTTCCCATGGGCTATCGTACTGATCTATTACTAGACAGACGCATAGCAACATTGCATCCGTTTGTTAAATACATATTGATGAAAACAGGGCACTTACTGTGATTTTCCCTGGTACTCAGCTGCTTTAGGCAGACCTATTTCCCAAACCATAATAGTGTTATCATCTGCAGCACTAAGCAGCCATGTGGGATGATGAGGATGAAACATAAGACATTCTAAAACACCTTTGTGTCCCTGAATTTCTTCAAAGCAAACTAGCTGATTTGGTTCTATTATTTTTATGTCATTTTGAAATCCTCCCGCAGCAATAAGGTTGCCTTTCCGTTTCTTATCAGTATCAAAGTCTAAATAAACCGTAGTCCATGCTAAACAGTAAAATGTTTCTCCAGGTTGTTTGTATTTTTTCATGACACGTCCAGTACTGCAGTCCACAAAGCAAACAGAATCTCCTCCACATGTAGCACAAGTTGTGGTGGTGTGACCTAACAACACAAAGAAACAACTTGTTGAACATTGGCCCACAGAGAAGATGTTTTTTTTAAGGGTAAGATATGAAAGAAAAAAAAAACTACAGGGAAAAAACATACACTCTATACCTTCTCTCTCAGGATCTGGTTCAAATTCACAACCCCACACTTGTGTCTTTCTGTCTGTAGGATCATTGTTTAGTGAATGTGTTTGAAGTAAATGAGACACCGCAAACTGACTGTAAGCAGCACTACTGTTCTCAGCCTCCTGTAGAACAAGAAAATAAACAATTCACTGTTCATAATAATGGTCCTCATTATTTACATAGAGGGCTCAGCTGGTCAGCAGCACACTCCTAGTCACCTCTACGCTGATAAAACTGCAACACCCCATGGCAGGACGAGCCCACAAGCTCCTAACCTGATTTCCCCTTACCTTTTAAGAAGCTAAAAAATATGTTATTATAACCTTGATTTCTCTCTCTTGTGTTCTTCGTTTTCTTTTAGTCACTTTCCCTTCTGGTGTTTTTGTTTTCTTTGGTTTGTCTTCTGCATCATTTGCAACTTCAGCTTGACCATTGACTAGAATATGTTAACACAAAGGTAAAATCTTAAATCCCATATCTCCCAGATCTGATTCGCAATTCTTTCTTTTTGCAATTTTACATACATCTAATCTAAAGGATTTTATGTTTTCTTAAGGACAATACCCTCTATCTGATAAAGAGTGGGACAATGGAGGGTTCTGAACACTGCAATCTTGCAAAAAAAAAAAAAAAGGTGAATTTTGCAATATTGCCGAAAAAAAAAGAACATCAAATACTGCAATACTTAAATACCAATCTCATGCCCAAACCACTACTCTGTACGTTACATTTAGAGCAAATACCACATAAATACCATGTAAGAATTTGTCAACAAACATTCAGTCAGGTAATTTTTAATTCCAGCCTGTTTCTGAAAGAAACAGAAACTGGAAAAGGCTTGGAAAATGGTGAAGGACTCGAAGGATAATTTTTTGATACCAAGAATTCAGCAATTCCAGATCAACACTACCAAAATACCGCAAGAAAAATGGTCCAATACTACAAAACCCAATCTGTCCTTTAACACATTTGTTTATTCCTACCACTTTGCTTTTGCACAATTAGTAACAACATTAAAGGGACTTCTTTACAAAGCCCCACTCTGGAGTCAAAAGTGTTCATCCTTTACACCCTAAAATCAGCATGCATATTCTTCGTACTGTTCCCCATACATTTCCTTGGGTGCAGACAAAGAGAGTCTATTCAACGATCAACAGCTTCTTTAGTTGGTGTTCATTTTCTTCCAGTCTTGTAAGAGCTTTATCAAATATCAGAAAGGAAGTTTTCAGCCTCTTTGAGTGTTTTGCAAAGAATAATCTTTTAAATCTAAACTAGTGAGCAGCACAACTGCAAGCAGCAGTTGCAAAACTTTTTTAATCTCAGACAGATGTAGTCTAACTGTTGTAGGCTTCTTCCTATCAGCTATCGTATGTTATCGGCTATAAGCCGAGCCTGGCTATAAGCCGAAACCCTAGACTTTTAACTCTTAAACTTAATACAATTGTCTTCAAACATAAACACAAAACATTCAGCTATAAGCTGAGACCCAGTTCTTAAAACGTATAAGAGCTCATGAAAACTTTTAATCACATTTAGCTTTTAAAATCTGTTAAAATGAAATGAAATGAAAGAACAGATTAATTATCCAATGGCACGGGCAATTTGCTTGAAAAGCAAGGTGTCATGAATATTTAATGAAAGCTAGGCTTACCTCTCAGGAAACAACTGTATCAATATTGTTACCTACTCAATATAATGGCTAAGAATAACAACAAATCACAGTTAGTAAGCTGAATTTAATGTGATCCGATCAAATGAATAAAATTGAATTCACGGCTTGATCATATGAACATTCTGAGTTCAGAGACCTATCTTTAACAATTCTGTGTCGATAGTCGTTCATTTTCAATCCATTATCATGCCAAAAGCCCGTCGTACATCATACAATCTAGCGTTCAAACTTTAAATTGTTGCCAAAGCAGAACCTGTCGAGAACAACTCTGAGATCATGAGGGAATACGGCATCAGTGAGTCAATGGTTCGTCGCTGGAGAAAAGACATAGAAAACCTCTTCACCGGCGAAATAAAACTGTCACCACAACGTAAAACGATGGGCTGTTTTACACCAAAGTATTCCGAGATGGATCAAAGACTGCTGGAATGGTTTTCTGAACAGAGAAGTCAAGGTGAGAATCATGTGACAAGTTTGTTTACACAGCCGTGGGAACAGAACATTCTCATTGCTCAGTTTTTGATAGTTGTCAAAACATTAATATCATTGCTTATCTGTTCTATCTTTCCTTTGTTTTAGGAATTGCTGTGGGTGGACTGATGTTGTGTTTGAAGGTGAAAGAATTCTGCGATGATCCTGCATTCAAAGCGTCTGTAGGCTGGTACATAAACTGGAAGCGGCACCATTCCATCTCTCTCTGAACGAAGACCACCCTCGCCCAGCGTCTGCCAAACAATCTCAAAGAGCAAACAGTAAAATTCCACCGGTTCGTGATTGCAGCTCTTCAGCGCCATGGATACCCTTTGTCCAGAATTTTCAATACGGATGAGACACCAATGTGGTTCAAGATGCTGTCCAGCCGTACTCTGGAATTCAGAGGCAGCCAAACAGTTCCCGTGAAATCCTGTGGCGCAGAGAAGAGAAGCTTCACAGTCATGTTGGTGGTATCTGCTGATGGCAAAAAGCTGCCCCCTAAAGTTATCTTCAAAGGCGTACGAACCCCGAGAGACCTGGTTGTTCCGGACTCAGTTCGTGTTTCATTCCACAATAAAGGATGGATGGATGAAGCTGGTAAGTTAACAGTTTTGTGTTGTTCACATGCGCTCTTTTTTCTGTGCTCTTTACTCGTGTTTAAAGCCACATGCTTTATTGAAGTCTTTAATTAAAGTGAGGTCTAATGGATTGTTGTATTCTTTCTTTCGTTATAGGCATGAAGGAGTGGATTCGTACCTGCATGCCAAGAAACCCCACTGGTGAGTGATCGCTGTTGGTTTGGGACTCCTTTTGTGCTCATCTTACTGAGTCAAAGAAAGAAGCATTGCAGCAGCGAAGTATCAATGTAGCTGTTATTCCCGGTGGCCTAGCTCTAGTTCTCCAGCCCTTAGACAAGTGTCTAAATAAGCCCTTCAAGGAGAGTACGAGAAGAAAGTACCTGTCGTGGTAACTGGCCCCTTCGAGTTTACTCCTGCTGGGAAAAATAAAGCGCCCTCAAGAAACCTCATTCTATGTTGGATAAAGCAGTCTTGGAGGGAGATCCCGGAGGAGATGGTGAGGAAATCATTTCTTACTTGCGGCATCTCCAATGCGCTTGACGGCACCGAGGATGACGCCATCTATGAAGAGGAGCAAGACAATGATGCCGAAGAAGATGAGATGGATGAAGAATTTGATACAGAAAGCGAAGATGAGCCATAAGCTGACATCCTCGAACGTGCAGTTCACGACAGAAAACAAACAACTCCTTTAGGAGCCACCACATATTAAAAGTTAATGACCAATAACTCTTCCTTTTTTGTCCATGTGTTTTGCTCAGCTTGTATGCGAATACCGTATATGCGTATGTTGAGGCCTATGCTCAACGCCCTCATTTGGACAGCGGTTTCTCACCCGACATACAAAACAATAACACGGCTCCTTTTTTCCACGTGCATGTGCTCGAGCTATTTTGTATCTTTCAAAGCTGTTTAATTTTACCTTTGTCCGCCTCCGGATCCTTTACCAAACGTCGATAATCGGTAGGCTTTGTTGTTTTATCTTGGCGTTCTTATTTTTTGGATTTCTTGTTAGTTATTTTAGCCGGTTTGTCGGTATGTTGGTAACTTTCGTAACCTTAGCAGCATTGTGATTTAGCCGTTAACTGATTGTTTTCAGAATAAAACGGGGATTTCTACAAAGATTCTGACCCTCGTCACGTTCTTATCGACTTTGGGATAGGCTTCGACACGAACGCCTATTCATGGTTTTATTCGATTATCGACGTTAATGATGCCAATAAACAATAAACAACTCCTTTAGGAGCCACCACATATTAAAAGTTAATGACCAATAACTCTTGCTTTTTTGTCCATGTGTTTTGCTCAGCTTGTATGCGAATACCGTATATGCGTATTTATCTTAGTTTTATTAAGTCCATAATTTTTGTTCAGGTTAAACTCTCAGCTATAAGCCGAAACCCCTCTACAAGTCAGATTTCAATTTAAGTTAGGCTAAACATGTGTAAAAATCGCTCAGCTTATAGCTGATAAAATATGGTAATACAGGGGCCAATGACCGTAGAGGCTTGGCCAGACTTACAAACAGGAATGTGTGCAGTTGTAAAAAGATTAAAATGTGTAAGGACAGGTGAGAAAAATATTTAGGGGGCCATGGTTTTAGCTGTTCCCATAAGTGCTGCTCACTAGTTTAAATTTAAAAAATTGCACAACATAACACAACTAATTCATGTCTATGTATTCAACATACCTGCCCTGGTTCTTTGTTTTTTATAAGGTGGTTCTTCACTTGTCTTTTCCTCAGCCTTAATTTTTTTGAAATGAAGGTTTCCTAGAATTGTAAGCTGTTTGAAATTACTTGTTTAGTACACATCATTAAAATTGTACATCTCTATCATGATCATACTTTGACAAAAAACCTCAATCCACGTTATAAAAATAAATACCTTGTATTCCCTATAGTTCTTTAGCATTGCAGGGCCGCAAGTAACTTCAGACTAAAAGCAATTCACAAGTGAACAGATTAGTAACCTAATTTATACATGAAAATTTTAAGATGGAAGGACAAAACAACACTAAATAGACTTAAACAAGGCTTGACACTAACGGTAGCCAACTAGCCACAGACTACTAGATATTCAGTTTTGGCTAGTGGTTTTCGATATTCACTAGCCAGTTTGGCTAGTTAACAAACTGAAATTGTTGCAACATTTGAGCTGTCACTAGCCACTTGGCTAGTAAGTTGAAAAGTTAGTGTTGAGCCCTGTAAAATATGACTTGGGAATGGTCTACAACAGTGCGTGTCATGTCTATAAACTCTTCCAGTTACAGATCAAATCTACCACTCTCCTCCAAAGTTCCCAAAATCTTCTGGATACTGGTAAACTAGGTATTTTTTTTTCTACAAAAGAAGAGGATTGAAGCAAAATTTGCCTACAATGTTATGTTTTGATTATTTCTGTCTAAGCACTTTCAATTTGTGAAAAGAATTAACTGCAAATAGCTTCTTATTTCTCCTGGCAGAATCACTGCTAAATCAAACACTGATATTGTAAGGATAGAGGAAATTATCACCAACTAACTTCTCAATTGTTTGACACATTCACCTTGTTAGTGCTGTAGGAGGTGTATAAAGAAGAGTACGAGGAACAAAATGTATGTATATGTATACTGTTGCCAGGGTGTGAAGAGTTAAAACAAATTTCACCGCAATAATAGAAATTAAAAAATAACGGACGTAGTACCCATTGTCTGATTGGGCAGTTCAACTTCTGAGCTGGTGCTTTAACAGGTTATAGAACCCGCATGTAACTATTTGTGTAGAAACTTTCCTCGAGTTCTCTCAACATCCTGTGTGGCTTTAACATGTTAAAGAGCCCGGAAAAATGTATCCTAATGCTTAAATGTACCTTGAGCTTTTCAATAAACTCATTTTTAAGTTCAGTTCTTTTATCTTCATCTAACTGATTGTACTTTGTGTTGAATTGCTCATTCCAGAAGTCAGTGATCTAAAAAAAACAAAGATTAACTGGATTATTCTATCTATCAATCGAAACAATACTGGTTAACTGTACCTCATCCCCACAAAAAAAATAAGTTAACTTTAGATCCTGCCTTTAAACAATATTTTTAGCATGGACAAGAGGTTCTATAAAGATACACGTAATCAAACAAGGAAGAGAAGGAGTGTTATTGGCAGCTTGTTGGTTCACCTGTTTTTTCCTTATTTGGTCATTCATTACATGGTCATGAATAATTTTAGTTTTCTGTAAGAGCAAGACAAAGCAAAAAAACAAGTGCTCAAAGAGGATTTCTATCAATCATAAACTTCGCTTTTCAACCAAAATTGTAGCTAATCAAATCCTGGATCTTTCATCATTTTCAGGATCTTGGTATAATTTAGTGATGTATAAAAGTGTTATGTTCAATTTTAAAAGCAAGGCATCTACATCCTATAATTTCTCCAAGGCCATTGCTTTCATCAGTCATTACATGGCATTTTTAGCCAACCTTTTGTGTCATAGTAGAATCCAATCTATCTACTGCATTCCTCATCAGACTGATATCCTGCAACCAAAAAAATTGTGTTTTATAATATAAACACGAGATGATAGCTACATAATAAAAAAGGCACTTTCAGATAGCATAAAACTAAATCTCTGTATCATAAGACTTGATGAACAAAAATAAGGTCATGAATAGTTTAATGTTAATTCTTGTACCTCTTGCATCTCGAAGCATTGAAAAAAAAATCAACCTTCATGGTGAGAAAAGAGCCTGCCCAGACTTCCAGTAACTAACTTAAAGACTATTTCTTTTCAGACCACATGCTAGTCAATCACTGGTTACCCTACAAAGATTTGCCAAGGTTGCCTGACAGTTTGTTGGTACTCATCCATACCACCTGTTGGGCTAACATTTTACCTCCCAAGATCTGATTGTTAATTCTCCCCTCCACCTGTTGCATACTTCCTTGCAAAGTAGTTCTGAGAATTTGGTGCTGGATCAAGATAACAACCTATTAATATCTGTTAAGTTTGAGTATTCTCATTAACTGTTTGCTGGATAATGTATAGATATTATTGGGAGAAGTCACATGTTTATCACTTTGGGAGTTCATTGGTTGAGAGAGGAACTCTGAATTCAAGTGTCTCACTCAAGAACACAACAGAGTAACACAGTCTGGCTTGAACCTCAACCTTAAGCTTCAGAGTACAATTTCCCACATCCTAAATAAGGTTAACCCTTTTTAACTCCCAGAGGTGATTAACCTCCAACTTCTCCCTATAATATTTATATGTTATTCAATGAACAAGTAAAGAGAATACTCTAACTTATCAGGTAGAGGCGATTATCTTGATCTAACATGAAATTCCTGAAAAAAATTTACAAGGAAATGTGTAGCAGCTAGAGGGGAGAATTAACAGTCGGATCTTGGGAGTTGAATGGAAAAGTCTGCAATAGAGCCAAGTGGTTCCTGAGGCACAAAACAACTTAGACTGTTTCTACCCCCCCCCTGCTTGGATGGGATGCAAGTCCATCCAAGGGTTACCTCCAAGGATTCCCTGACAGCTGGTACCCATTTATACTCCCAGGTGGAGAAAGGCACTGAGAAAGTAAACCAGTTTTACCAAGAACACAACATATTGACCAAGATGCAGGTCTTGAACCCACAATCCAGCACATCAACCTGCAGGGCACCACCTCTCCCCCTCACCCTATACTGTTTGGTTATCCTGTGTTCAGATACAGCACGGCCTTTGGTCAGGAGGTAATACCATGATGGGGTGGCTCCCCCTCACCCCATGCCATTTGGTTATTCTGCGTTCAGATCTGGTGTGCCCCTTGTTCAACAGGTTATAACCATGATGGGGTGGCCCCCCTCACTCTGTACCATTTGGTTGTTCTGTGTTCAGATCTGGTGTAACCCTTGTTCAAGAGGTGATAACCATGTTGGGGTGGCCCCCCTCACTCTGTACCATTTGGTTGTTCTGTGTTCAGATCTGGTGTCG